AGAATAAATGAAAAACAGTATGTCAGTAAAACAAGAATACAGTTTGAAAGGGGAGTGATTTGTAAAATATCCATAAAGAAAAAGTAAATCTGTTTACAGTTCTGTTTCATCTGGGTGTTGAGAGATGTATCCATAGATCTCTTCATGTTGCTCTCAAAGTGCACCAGATTGATGCTTTCAACTTCAATATTTAAAGAAAAATCTTCCCCGGACCCCCCTAGAGGAGGTGAGGAACCCCCCTAGAGGAGGTGAGGTCCGCCCCCCAATAGCACTTTACCCCTGCCTATATGCCGTGAGCTGATTATGGAGCCTTCATTGTAACAGTAATTCAGATGCAATTAGCCAGATATAAAAGGGCTCAAATTGGAAGCATTGTCTGGGCCGTCTTTTTCACTCAATTCTGCAATAGGTAGATCTCGCCTTTCACCTAGGCCGAGGTCTGTGATCTTGAGCTTAAAAAGGTTGGTGCCCACTGCTCTGGAGAAATCTCATTGCTTTTTGTCGAGGGAACAGGAAGTCGTAAAATGCTAACTCACTTCCGGGTTTTAGGACTCGTCACTGCACCACTCTATTTGTATCTATAGCTGTATTGCATTGTTTATTTTGTTTGGGTTGTTATGTACGTGCACAGCTGTTGTTGTAATGTTTTTAAATAAACAAAAACATTATCAATCCCTTTAAATCCTCCATTTACTGCCGGCCGAACAAGAAATATCCCACAAAACATTCGATAGAAGAGCAAATTCTGATCCGTTTTCTTTTTTTAATGTAATGTTATTTTGTATGTATGCACCACGGCACCAAGTCAAATTCCTCCTACGTGTAACCCTACCTGGCTTCTGGCCCATTATAATATTAAACACAGTGTACTGTGTGCGTTCAGGCGTGTTTACCTTGATGCAGATGCCGCAGCCTATACACAGAGACTCAGAGATCCAGACGATCTTACTCTGAGGAGTCACCTCGATACACAGCTTACCTGCAAACACACACACATTTATACACACATTACAGTCAAATTCAAGCACTTTCCAGGTGCATTTTGAAGGGTTTCAAGCACCTGACGGCTGTAGTGAAGTACAGATTTACAGAATGTGTAGAAATATGGATCGTAACAGCGTTTTACAGGAGAACTAAAGCACAAACAAGGCAAACGAGGCAAAAATATAACAAGAAATCAAACAAATAACTTAAATATTTACTGGAAATAAGAAGATTAGACTTTGAGGAAGGCTGTCAATCAGCTGCTTGAGCCTCGATATAATGTCGTAAAAGCCACTTATCTTTTAGTGATGACTTCTGAAAGTAACCTTTATACAACTTCATGATTGTTCTTCAAATGAATTGCTCTTTTTCCCAGTTTTCTGAACCCGTAAATTAGATTTTTGAGTCTACTCTCCCCCAGGTATGTCTCTGTGTATAATGGTTCCTCACCCATGCGGACCACCGGGCAGCTCTTCTTGCACTCCTGACGACATTTTTTAGGTTTGCATTTGTCGTGGTTGACGATGGCGATCCTGGTGTTTTTATCCGCCATGATGGGAGGCTGGAAGGATGGACGCTAGCACCGAGGAGCTGAAGGAAAAGCACAGATAGAGATATAAGTTCAGAGAGAAACGTGCACACGCACCACAGGGGTTTTTCTAGAAAGATATCGTACGAGTTCTGTGTCTCTGCTTTTGTTTAGAAGATATATAAATGATCTCGAGAACGTGACGCCCGTAAACAAGATGTCTTAAAGGTGTCCTATCATGCAAAATGCACTTACATAAATATGTGTCCCCGGTGTGTCGGGAAACTCACAAAGTGTCATAAAAAAAAAAACCCTCTCTTTTCCTCAGTACCCACATCTCCAAAAAAAAAAATCTCGTGACACATCCCGACCTATCGTCTCCGGCACACGTGACACATCCCAACCTATAGTCTCCGGCACACGTGACACGTCCCAACCTATCGTCTCCGGCACACGTGACACGTCCCAACCTATCGTCTCCGGCACACGTCCCAACCTATCGTCTCC